AATTGGCACGACTTCAGGTGCCTAAAGTCGACATCTTCCTGTTTGAAGGGGAAAGGATGTCTAAATGGCTGGAACTTTTGGAACAAGTTACAGCCGAGGTACCTGAAGAAGATAAGTTCAAGTTCCTACCCAGATACGTCTGGTGGGAATTCTGCCCCGAGATAATGAAAGTGGCTGCTGGAGCTGGGGGAGATTGGACCAAGTTCAAAGGAGAGATGCAGAGGCGCTTCAAGTTAGGGGATGGCCTGCTAACGAAGACAGACCTAGAAATGTTGCAGAGAGATGAGTTCTCCACGGTGGGGGCTTTCATGACGGCGTTTGAAAAGATAGCAAGAAAAGTCCCAGGGTTGGCTGAAGAAGAGCAGTGTGCAACCTTCCTTAGGCACTTCAAGAATTGGGAGGCTTCTGCACGACCAAGAAGGCTGCGCCAGGGAAGAAGTTGACATGGGCCGCCATAAAAGAAGGCGTGTTAGAAGGGGAATTGGACCAGGTAGACATCTTCCAAATGCGACAGGCTAGGAAGAAAAGGAAGGCTTTGGATGCCACGACAAGTGACGGGAGAGACTTTGAGAGAATGGTGGAGGATGTTGTTGCCCAACTCGATGCGGAAAAAGAGGCAAGGGCAACAAGAAAAGTTACGGCAGCACCGCAGACTCAGGGAAAGGCGAAGAAGGTGGTGGTGCAAGAGGAGGAAGAAGAGGAAGAAGAGGAGTCTGAGCCTCAAAAGCTAACAAAGGCACAGAGGAAGGCCAAAAATTTGGCCCAAGGCGGACAAGGCTCATGAAGAGGACAGACCCCGCAAGCAACAGCATTGCCTTCCCTGGAGTCGCATGGCCAGGCCGCGCCAGCACCCTATGGGCCGTGGCCGGGTTATGGACCTTCGAGTCCTTGGCCTGGGCACTGTTCATACGTACCATGGCCGGTGAGTGGACCACATGGATCGTGCGCGGGAGCGCCACTAGCGCGGCTTCCTGCGGGTGTCCAGGACCCCAGACTCAACAAGTAAGCCACTCGAGCCAATCCAACCTCAACAGCCGGTGCCACAGGGGCCGCAGGGAAATCAAGGCGGAGGACGTGGACATAACCAAGGATGGGGCCGAGGGCGAGGAAATGGCGGTCACGGGGGAAACGGAAGAGGAAATGGGGGTGGCAATCCCAGTGGAGGAGGAAATGGGGATTGGAATGCGTCACCGAGTCAGGGTAGTCAGGACGGCGGGCGAGGTTTTGGTAGAGGACGGATAGATTGAAGGAATGTCATTTGTTGGCATTGTGGGCAGAAGGGTCATACCATCAAGTTCTGCCATGTCTGAAGGAACCATGAAGATGAAGGGTTGATTAGTACCAACTACGACGGTGACATGTATGATAAGTTTGGATACTTTATTGACCCAAAGATCCCTAGTGGGACGAGAAAGGAGGCCTTGAGACGAGTCGAGGCCGGCAAACCGCCCGCTCCTCCAGCCATGTTTCGAATCTGGCAAGAGGAGGAKGTCCGTCCTGATGTAAGGGTTGAAGAGATAGGAGAGAATGAGGAAGTAGAGCAGGAAAGGAAAGCCGGTACGGTCAAGGAAGAACCAATTGTGGTAGAATATGACGAGGAGATAGAAAGGGGTTACTGGAATGAGGCACGGAGAACGATGGAAAGAATGGAGGATCTAGTGGTGAAAATAGGAAGGTATCAAGACAAATTGACCAACATGTGTGAAGAGGTCAAGGAGTGGAAAGGTTAAAAGTCACTGGTATATCTCTACGATATGAGTCCAGGATCGCAAGGAGGATCTGGGAGCCTACCAGGCATAACGGTTTCAGGACCGACGCCTCAGTCCAGAATGGCTTACAGGCCACCATCGAGATCAGGAGGAGCATCACAGGCCGTCAGGACAAGGGCCAAGGGGCCAGTACGCCCCAATGAGCCGGCAAAGGACTTTCCTGAGCCTAGTGGGGGAAAACAAACAGTAGACATCTCGGAGGACGAGGATGAAAGAGATGAGAGGTTAAGGAAAGAAGAGGATAAGAGGGTCGAGCTAAGAGCAAAGAAGAGGGATGTTAAGGTAGACACGGACAGGGTTCCAGAAGGGAAGAAAAGTAAGTATATTGTCCGGGCTATGTGTCTGAAATTGGATTCAACGGGGGTTTTGAGTTGAACGGTTCAACTCCCATTCAACTCCCGTTGCAACTCCGCGTTAAACTGAGTTGAACGTGGTACAACTCGGCCCGCAGATTTTTTTTTGTGCAGGTAAAACACAAGTGAAAAAAAAAACAAAAAATATTAAGGTGTAGATTTTTTTGCTCTCTACATCCCCAAAACCCGTTTTTCTCGTTTTTTGTTTTAACTTTTTTTTTTCTCTTTTGATTGATTGATTGATTGATTGGTGGGGGATGGGTCGCCCCCCCAACCCCCACCCAATTACACACACACATACACACACACTCACTTTCTTTCGCCGAAGTTGCGCGGGCGGGGACCCCGCGCGGCGCAAGTGTGTGTGCGTTCGTGTGTGTGTGTGTGTGTGTGTGTGTGTGTGTGTGTGTGTGTGTGTGTGTGTGTGTGATT